GTAAACTACGCTGAAAAAAATCTAATTCTCTCAGTAATTATCTACATTAATTATTTCTCAGAAATTATGTAAAATCGTAGTGCTTTACTTCGCTAGTGCATTCTCATTAGAATGGATGAATTTAACCCTTGACTTTGCCTTTTTATATTTTCGCCTTCGGATGAGCGGTGTGATTGCATCCTGATTTACTTAATTACCGCGATGAGCCTTACGGAATAAAATTTCATTATCTGGTAAAAATTCTATGTAATTATATGCCAGTATTGAAAGAAACAATCAAGCTGATAAGAAATGGCTGCGAATTGTTCTGAAAATGAGGCGTAACATGTTACCAGCGAGGATATCACCTTTGGCATGAATTGTACCATTATTGGCGAATTTAACGCCTGCTCCGGCAAAACGGAAAAGTACCAAGGCGGGTTAACACTGGGGAAAAGAGTCAATTCTAGGTTACCAGAAAAACGATAGCAGCGTCGGTATTTGGCGCCAAATTAAACGGCATCCTTTTCTACGGTAGAGCCCGGCCTTCCAAGGCCAGTTACAAGGATAACGCATTTGAAAAGCCTTGTAACCGAATCTCGAATGATAATAGTATGTACTGTGTGGTCAATTATTACATCTATTTACCGAATTGGGTACTATTCCGTTTTGAGGACCGTAAAAAAATTGCAGCGATAATGTGTGCGCAAAAGCGCCAAATCTAGCAAACGCGCTGATTTCAGATTGCGTAAGTTTATATAGTTACATATTTCTTAAAACGCTATTGAAATACTAGTTTAATTTTTAAATCGGTACTTTTCCACAAATCTCGCCAAGCAGACTTTATTGGCGACAACATACAGTATGCACATAAAAAATATTAAAAAAATGTTAGTTCTAAGAATTCTTTTTTTGGAGGCATAAACATTTTAATATCGCTTAAAATTTTATAAAAAGCCAATAAATAAAGACAATAAATTTGTAAAAAGACATTAATTTAAGAATTTAGTATGCTTTCATGGTTCAACATCCTGATTCGCCGGTTCATATCACGTGATCCCAAGCGATCTCATCTCACATAAACTACTCTACAAAAATCTAATGCTCTCAGTAATTATCTACGTTAATTTCGAGTTAAATCTTAATTTGGAACACAAGTTTAAGTGCAAGAAATATTTCAATTCGTACGAATAGCTTACTCAGAAATTATGTAAAACTGCAGTGCTTTACTTAGCTAATGCATTCTCATTAGAATGGATGAATTTAACCCTTGACTTTACCTTTTCTATATTTTCGGCTTCGGGTAAGCGCTGTGATTGCATCCTAATTGACTTAATTACTGAAAATGGCCTTAGACATAAAACTGAACTATCTGATAAAAATTCTAGGGTTTTCATCCGCAGAGAACCCATTGGCGCCGTTGCATTTTTACTCGCCAAGCTCGCGTTTCATCGGCGATGAGCCGAGCCGTAAACGTGATATTTTGTGGACGTGATTTTTAGTGCATGTAAATTCAAGTTAGCAGACAAAACAATATATTTAGCATATGGTAGTAAAAATTCACAGATAATAAGCATGTATATGTAAAACTAACTGGTTAAACGTGATATACTAAATAAATTTGTATTAAATTCAAGTTAGCACAGAAAAGAATATATTAAGTATAAGACAATATATAAGCATTTATAACGGAAATAAAAATTCATTTGAAAAATATAAATTAGTATTAATGTACTGAAATTAACCGGTTAAACGTGATAAACGAAAAAAATGTGTCTTAAATTCCAGTTAATACAGAAAACAATATATTCCTTACACCAGCAGTAGTTTGCTAATTTTGATGACCATAGTGATGCATCAAACTATTCCGTCATCTTAGATAATCAATAATATTTTTTATTTCAATTTAATCATCTATTTATGTCACACCAGCCATCCTCTGAAAGGTTATTGTTAGAAAAGCATTAACAATATGTTGTTAAAATTTAAGCCAGAAAATTGATTTATTCTCATTTTAGATGACAATAAACAATAATAAAAATAAAAGCATTACTTAGTTATTTAAATTGCTGGTTCTTAGAACTGTTTATAATTAAGAACACAACGTGAACAGCCGTGTTACAAATTAGCATTCACCCTTCCCGCCGTACTTTCTTCCTTTCATCCCGAACCGAGAACCGGCATCTATCTACCAAAATATTTCTATCCATTCGTTGTTAACAAATTCAGAAAAAATAATAATAAATAAGAGAAGAATAATATAAAGCTGCAAATGCGAACAACGGCAGTGATAATTCAACAAAATGAACCCAAGAGGAATGGTTGCAAACTTCGAACAAGCGAATAGGATAAATCCGCTGGGTTACCAGGTTTGAACTATTATCGCCAAAGTTGGCGATGTTTACATTTACCAGGTTCTCTGCGGAAGTGCTTCCAAATTCTATGTAATTATATGCCAGTATTGAAAGAAACAATCAATCTGATAAGAAAAAGCTGCGACTTGTTTTGAAAATGAGGCGTAAAAGGTTACCAGAGAGAATAATCCATTTGGCATCGGTTGTACCATTATTGGCGACTTCATCGCTTGCGCCGGCAAAACGGAAAAGTACCTTTAAATCCTTTTTTTTTAATTTTAAATCCTTTTTTGATATCATATGGATTTAAAAATTTTTGCCCCATTACGAAAAGTCTGCAATAGGATTTTGGGTAAAATGCAGAATCACACACTGCTTGACGCGTTTTTAAGAATTGCCCATACTCGGTATCCATTAACACATCGACCTATTTTCACTTAAAAAAGAAAAGAAAATTGACAAAAATCCAATTGTTTTTATCTTTGTAAAAAGCGGCAAGCAAATAAGTGGGCGATTCTGCACTTTACCGAGAATTTTTCAAAGAAAAGGCATCATTCGTTATAGAAAATTACGTTTGAACAACCAACGAGATGAAAGTATGCTTTAGCGATAACTCGGTAGCGAAATAGCGATGCAGGCATCCATTCAGTTATGTTTAGCAATTTTTATATAAATTATAATAATGATCTGAAATAGTTATTTACTCTTATGCTTCCCCATTCAGTCATGTTTAGCCTTTTTTTTATATAATTTATAATAATAAAAAGTATTATATGAAACTAACCTTTAATCTAAATTAAAACATCAATCTTAGATAGTTATTTACTATTATACTTCCTTTCTTGCGTTAGGACTGCCGCAATTATTTTTGGCAGCACTGCCATCAACAACAGTTTGGTGATTTTTTACGGCCCTCAAAACCGATAGTACCAAGAATGGTTTCTATGGTGGGGACTAAACTGATGGTGAATGGAGAACTGCCTTTTATTCAGCTCGTTTACTTGTAATAGCTCTGAAATCTGCCTTGTAGTTTAACTAAAACATTATCATCACTGGAACATGCAACAAAACTATTCTGATATACTGTTAATTTTATTCCCACATGTTATCGACTATTGTCGCCAATTTTGATAAATTATCACCACTACTGAATAAATGCTTTCTATTCGTAAGCTTGAAGAGAAAGAATTTTAATAAAAGGTTCACTTACTTTATCAGCAGCCAAATTCTTTATTTCACATAACAGCTCAGAAGATTTATTGCCACTCAGTTCTACTTCAGGTAATAAGTTTTGTGTCGTTTGGAATTTGGAGATTTTGGAAGATAAATGAACTTGTCCTTAATTGTAATGTATTTCTTGTCTTTTGGTGAATTAATCAAATTATTCGACAGTTGCGATAATATTTCATCTTTCAAATTCATTGAATTAAATCTAAAGTATTATTAGTATACTATAAAGAACAAACTTCTTTAAACGATTTTATTAACAAGAAAATAGGATTGACACAATTGCTGATTAGCCTTTTGAAAACGAAAATCCAGTGAATGTTTATCTTCCGAACAGTCTTTTTTGTTGCCAGTTCAGCGGAAGAAAAATCGAACGCGAAATGTTTCACGCAGTGCGCTTCAGTATGGCAAATGATGTCGTCACAAACTTCACCGAAGCTGACGACGTAATCCTATTTCTTGGGATCTGACATTATTGCAGTATTTTGATATTGTACCTCCAGTTGCAGAAATCATAATTTGGGAAACGGTTTACAAATCGGTAGAATTTTAATGCCTAGTGATGACGGATGTCGAAGTTCATTTTTACTTTCAACATCGTTTGCCGTAGCCGGTTGCCACTATTGAAATGAATGTTAAAATTATACTTTTTTTTAAACCTTCAACTACCTTTTAAATAAGATGATGAGAGTTGAAACGATTTAATTTGCAAAATAATAGTCTTTGTAATTTTTGTAGTGGTGAAGGCGATGCGCGACATTTCGTCGAAGACTGTGAATTATTACGATATGTTAGGAAAAAACATGGTAACATAAAGGAATTCTATTGCCGTAGAAAAGAGTTTAGATTTGCAAAGGATTTGATGAACTTTATAAATAGGCATAGAAAAATATTAGGGATTTTGATTTGATGCTTGATTTTTGTTGTAATCTGTGTTGGGTGTGCTGTGTCAGCCATGAAGCCGATTATTACCACCCAGGAGGGTTGCAGTACACTGGTTTATTACATAACATTAAATAAATAAAGATTATAGAACCTGTTATGGATAACAGGAACAATATTTTTATTTTTATTATATTTTAAGATCTGAAAAATAATGGCATTCCCACTTCACAAACGATAAATAGTTTTTAGAAAAATATAGGAGACGTTGCAACATCAATCTGATGAGTCTAGTCAAATAGAAATAAAATTTTCAATTCTTTTCTATGCTAGGAAGAATGGATAGTTACTAACCAATGTTCATCTATCTTTTCTTTGAATTTGATAACCGAGGCAGATTCTGTCCAAACTGATTAACTAGGATAGTTATTAATAAATTCTTAATCAGCCTTTCATTATTTAAGAAACAACAATTAACCAAGGACATTCGTTAAAAACCTGAAAAATGAATGTTATATTAAAAAAGTGGCTATTAGACGTTTTCGTAACTTCAACTATAACTTTGCCTGTAAACAAAAATGGCGCATTTTCCTAGCCCGTGGTTACATGGGCCTCCGACAGGTTCAAATGTTTTTTGTGCTAATTTCAATACAAATTCCGGAAACATACGATCTCCTTTGCAATCGTTTCAGCGGAATCCAACAGTGCCATTCCATTCTTTCCCAGTAAACAACCCTCCACCAATTTCGCCAGGAGCATTCCCAAATAGGCCTCGTTTCCAAAATTTTAGTGATCTAAGTTCACCAGCGTTCGGAAATAGACAGTCAGCATTTGAACGAATGCCACCGCCAAACATACGTCCTCCGAACATGCCACCATCAAATATGCCTACGATAAGACCACATTTTAGTGCTGCAGGAAATTTTGAAAATCGGCCTACACCTTGGCACCAAACGGATAACTTTATCAGGAATCGATCACAGTTTACAAACCGTCCTCAGCCAAGAGATTTCAACAAATTTAAAAAGAATGACAGGAAATTTAAAAGAAAAGATAACCGAAAATTTAAGGTATGTTTATTTGTTTATAATCTTATAATTTGATTTTTCAAATGCATGTCTTAGTAACTTTAAATTTAAATGACAAAGTATATGTATTAAAACTGCTTATTTATTTCTTTGAGTAAGCTGATAGTTAGGTGTTCTCGTCACTGCTATATCAGGAATAAACATAATGAATGTTTCAAATGTTGTATGTATTAACAGTTCTATTTTTCAGAATGGACTTTCTGTATAATTTTATCTCAGGTTTTATTTCAAGTATCTATCATTTGTGCTAAAGTGATTATCATTTGGTAATTTCCTTGGAGTTGTTTTCATGTTGTCTGTTGTTGTGTGAGTAAACAAGCAACATAAAAAATCCCCTGATGTTTTTGCATGAAATAATAGTAAATAGTGACTTGTAAAGATGTAAAATGTGTGTTCTTTCCTCTGTAAACATTTATCTCTGATTCATATGCATTTTAGAATAAATTCATATGAAAATTTTTGGTATTATTTTATAATTAAAGGGGTATATTTTCTGTTAGTTTCTTGTTTGTAATATGGCTAGTTACTTTTTGAAGAAGTTACAAATCATTGTGAGTTCAAGTTACAATGACTTATAAAATGTGTTTCTTGATATTTCATTTGAGACTCTCATTGAAATCCTTCTCATTTTAAAGTCTTAAAATGAGAAGTCATCTTTTAAAGTCATTTTAAAGTCTATTTATTGTAAAATGTGTAACCAGTGATAAAAATTTATCAGTCATGTCACAAACTAAAAGTATATTAGAGGTAATAAAAATATAATGATATTTCTTTGTTTGGCCATAAAGCTTAGCTGACAAAACTTGGAAATTTAATTGCCTAATCTGTAATATGCAGGAATCAAAATGGCCTCTTTAAGAAACACGTTTTGTTGCATATGTCTTTATTTAGCACAGTTTGTGTCAATAAAGCCATATTTTATTTTATTAATTTCTATTTTTCAGAACTATGAAATTACAAGTTAATCTCTTGAAGATACTTTTCTGTTATCAGGACTGGATTCAGAAATGTATTTATGTGCATACATATGTATGTATATGTATACATATGTATGTATATGCACGTATGTGTGTGAATATGTGTATGCAAGCATTGATGCATTTCTGAATTCGGTCTAAATAACAGTAAAATACCTTTTTGAAAACAAAAATTGAGTTAAATTTTTGAAAAAAATTAAAAGCAGCCAAATTATCTCAAACAGGTAATACCTCAGTGTCATAGCAGTGTGTGATCGTGGAGACAAAATTTTAATTAATATAAGGTCTGTGTAAAATGTTTTAGGACTGATTGATTATTAACTGTTGAGTAGTATTAACTGTTCTGTTCGCAACAAATGGAACTGTGGGGTAGAGACTTTACCCCTTGTATTATGGCGAAGTTGTTGTTTGATTTACTGCCAAGTTGTTGTTTCATTTATGGTAGCCTGAGTAGTTGAATGTTATGGAAACCCTATTGTGACGTAATCGGGTGCATGATTCTGGGAAATTTCGAATCATGGGATGTTTTGTAAGCATTTTTGTGGTGTGTGTTGGTTTGATTCTTTAGATGGTAGAATGGCCGAATGTTGTAAGATTAATTTGAAGTTTCTGTACGATTTGGAGCGAAAGGGGAAAAGAGCTTTAATTCACTGGTGTGTAAATGAAGGTTTACTTAGTAGCCATTATAAGTGTCCTGTATGTAGGAAGTATATGCGTCTAGTCAAGCGTAAAAACCGTTTAGATGGATTTGAATGGGTTTGTAGGAAGAAAAGTTCAGATGGTCACTATGTGAAGCGTTTGATCAGAAAGAATACCTGGTTTGAAAAAAGTCATTTGAGTATGAATGACATTTTGATTTTTTCGTGGCTCTGGGTGTACGAAGCGAACTCAAAAATCATGATAAATGAATATTTGCTTTTGGTAGTGCTTAAATGCATAACATGTTTTTCCTTTTTTTATGTTATTTTATTGTTTGGTTTAAAATGTATTTTATTGATATTATGTATTTTTTGTTTGCCTATATTATAGAATTTGGTGCTCCTTTGACTTTTTAAGTGAAAATATATCGATGTGTGCATGGACAAAGTAAAGGGAGTGCGCAATGCGCCTTTATGCAATTTTGGGATTTTTTTTTAAGTGAAAATAGGTTGACGTGTACATGGATAAAGTCAAAGGAGTGCACAATGCCATTTTTGTGCAATTCAGGGGATTTTTTGTAAGTGAAAATAAGTCGATGTGTACATGGATACCAAGTTTGTGCAATTGTTTGCCTTGTTATTTTGGCTTTGTGTAGCGGCGATTTTTGTCACAAAAATATGCCATGTTTATACCTAGATTGCCACATAAATAATTTTCGGTACTTACGTTTTATGACGACTAACATAGCTGTCTCGCCAAAGCTGGCAACCCTTGTAGGTCCACTGTTCAAGTCCTGTAATTGCTGTGTCAAGAATACCGAATAGTCAATCGAAATTTTTTGTTTTCAGTAACCTCTGTCACTTTCTTCACTATCGGAAGCCGTACATCAAAACATGCTTTCGCTTGTAGATCCTTTGGCAGCTCCAGAATCAGAAACTCTTTTTGACATAATCGAAAGTTCAAGCTTACCTTTTATAAAATTGTTCTAACAGCCTGCAAAAAATAATAAGCCAAATCCAATTAGAAGATTAAGCTGCAACATTAGCTGAAATAGATAATTAGATAGTTTTAGCCAAGCTTATACTGTCTGTAATACATTAAACATGCATGCGTAAACGTATTATGTGCATGCATAAATGCACATTATGACTTTGTACTGTACTGGATTAAAGACTTTGTACTGTATGTGGCAGTCTGTTTTCACTAAAGAAATCATCAAAGAATTGCACATGCTTGGCATAATGTGAAAAAATGGAAAAAGACACATGATGCCTTTGAGTGAAGCAGCTTGTGCATAGCGAAAGTTAAGACCAAGATTTTGGCGAAGAGGACGAACATTGTATAATTGCAATCACGGTGAAGAAATTGTCCGGAGAAGTCGAAAGTTTTCTGGGATAATGCCATGTTTATACCTAGATTGCCATATAAATAATTTTCGGTGCTTACGTTCTATGACGACTAACCTAGCTGTTTCCCCAAAACTGGCAACCCTTGTAGGTTATACAGGTTAACCCTAACATAGGGTATAAAGAGTGCTAAAATAAAGAGTATTATCCCGCACTTGCCTTTTTTTGCTACATTTACACTGATTATTACATTTAGTTTAAACACATGAAACTTTTTGTGATTATTTTTTCCCAATGTATATCAACATTTTCCAACTTCCTTCAAATGAAGAAGAAGTGATAGAAATTTTCAGAGAGGCTGGAATTTTACCCAAAGTACATGTTTATAAAAACGGTTATGATATGAAATTTTATAATTCAGGATTTTATTGGAGGTGCAATGTCAAAAATTGTCAACAGAAGTTTGGTGTCCCAACTGGTACGTGGTTTGAAAACAGTCGTATTGAATTTTTTTAAGCTTTGAGATTTATTTACTTTTGGGCATATGAACAGTTGTCCATTAAATAGTGCAAACATCAGTTGGATTTATCCAATAAGACTTTTATTGATTGGAATAATTATATGCGTGAAGTGTGTGTGAAGGATTTGGGGGATAATTGAAATATTAAAATTGGATGGCCCGGAATGATTGGCGAAAGCCTTTTTACACATCAAAAGAATAAACAAGGCGGTGTCTTGCCACAGCAGTGGGTCTTTGGTGGAATTTGCCGGGAAACAAAAGAAACATTTCTAGTCGGAGTTCCAGACAATATTGATGGAGGCAACAACATTGATGTGTGAAATCCAAAATAATATTGCTGAAGGCTCAACATTAATGTCAGATTCGTGGCCTGAATATCAAACAGAGGACCTCATTCCTGCCGGTTATGAACATTTTAAGGTGAATCATTGAAACAGTTTTGTTGACCCATCTACGTAGACTCGTACTCAACGCATTGAAAGGATGTGAGGTTCCACAAAATGGAGGAACAAGCAATAACGTGAGACAAGCCGCCATCATTTGGATACCTAGTTATCTGAAAATTTCCTGCCACTTACGATCAATCAGTGCTAGAAGAAATGATTTTTAATCAGGAGGATGCAAGAAGGCTCATGAACTGAACAAAAGTCTTAACTTAAAAGATCATGTTTAATTTTTATACATTATTGTGGATACAACAGTATTTGGAGCATGAAAAAGAAACTTGAATCAAGCGGTGGCTAAGAACCTACTGACGAGTTGTCACAATGATGCAACATCAGGAATAAATAAAAGCTAGATACTTTGACTTTTTGTTGCCATTTTGGTGGTTTGAACTGAAAGGGTACTGTAGTCTGTAATTATGCCGCACTAACAGTAAAAGACAATGGAATTTACACTTAAAAGTAATAATTTATCTAAAGCAATAAATTTTGCAGATTCACAGTCTGTTATTACTCTAAAAAGCAAGTTATATAATTTTAAATAACTGCAGTAAAGAGATGAATTAGCTTCTTTAATATGCTATAAATATGTTCTTTTGTTAAAAAAGTTATTTATGTTAGAACAAAGTACCATTAATTTGCAATGCTGATTTTTTGGAAGATCAGGGTTTGCTTATTTAATCCAAAAATGGTCATGAAGTACAGGCATTTGTGGATTAAGCAGTCATGGATTATTGGAATTCTAGTGTATTTTAACATAAAGTATATGTATTTTATCTGACATTCCATCAAGGCAGACCTGTTTGATTGAATATAAATAGTTGTATTATTTAGATAATTTTTAGGTAGTGCAATATATTTGTTCCTAAGATATTGTGCACATGTTAACTCATATGATTTGCGTACATGTATTTTACCCTGAGCATACTTAAGGCTGCTTAGTCAAGTATTGTTTTACAATAAATTAAAAAGCATGTTGTGCTACTGAGAAATTACGAACTACTAAAATATACACACTTAACAAAATTGTTATTTGTGAATAAAATAAATTACTTCA